GTAGCCCCAGCTGGAGTGCAATGATACGATCTCAGCTTACTGCAACCTCCACTTCCTGGGTTTAAGCAATTCTGCCTCAGCCTCCCAAGTCACTGGGATTGCAGGCGTACAATACCATGCCCAGCTAGTTTTTGTATTTTTAGTAGAGACTGGGTTTCATGTTGGCCAGGCTGGTCTCAAACTCCTGACCTCAAGTTATCCACCCACCTTGGTCTCCCAACGTGCTGGGATTACAGGTGTGAGCTACCCGCACCCAGCCCCATCTCTACATTAAAAAAAAAAAAAAGTGGCCGGGCGCGGTGGCTCACGCCTGTAATCCCAGCACTTTGGGAGGCCGAGGCGGGCGGATCACAAGGTCAGGAGATCGAGACCATCCTGGCTAACACTGTGAAACCCCGTCTCTACTAAAAATGCAAAAAATTAGCCGGGCGAGGCGGCGGGCGCCTGTAGTCCCAGCTACTCGGGAGGCTGAGGCAGGAGAATGGCGTGAACCCGGGAGGCGGAGCTTGCAGTGAGCCGAGATCGCGCCACTGCACTCCAGCCTGGGCGACTAAGCGAGACTCTGTCTCAAAAAAAAAAAAAAAAAAAAAAAAAAAAAAAGTTTTCAAGAATAAAAACAAAAAGAAGGCCGGGTGCCGTGGCTCATACTTGTAATCCCAGCACTTTGGGGGGCTGAGACTGGTGGATCACTTGAGGTCAGTAGTTCAAGACCACCCTGGCCAACATGATAAAACTCTGTCTCCACTAAAAGTACAAAAATTAGCTGGGCATGATGGCCGGCGCCTGTAATTCCAGCTACTCGGTAGGCTGAGGCACGAGAATTGCTTGAACCTGGGACGTAGAGGTTGCAGTGAGCCGAGATTGAGCCACCCCCCATTCCAGCCTGGGTGACATCGAGACTGTGTCTAAGAAAAAAAAAAGAAAAAAAAATTTTTAAAGTAAAAAGTTTTCAGGCCAACCTTCCAATAAACCCCATCCATCAGGCTCCTAGTCCTTGGTCACCATAAAGGATGGAAGACGCAAGATGCCATCTGCCCTGTCTTACTGAACTGCTATCCTGACCCAACCTCCCACCTCTGCCCTTGCCCTTCCACCACTCAGTGGTCACAAACCCTATATACAACACCATTCTCCCCTCCTTGCCTTAGTGACATCATCTGTCAACTGGCTGTTCCTTCTTCTCTCTTCCCTCCCTCCCGCTCATTGGTTGAAGATTGAGGTCATCCCCCTCTTGCAATCCCTCTGTCTAGACAGGTCCTGTCGCTCTCAGTGACTCTGCTGTCCTTACAGCCTCTCTATTCATTGTCTTCCTCATCTTGAAAGATTCCACCGGCTCTCCCAATCACATCCAGTTAACTTCCCTCTTGAAAGCTTTTTGTCATATGCCTGTTCCCTTCTTACTCCCCCCAGGGTGGACATTGGTTACCACTCTGGGATGGACACTGGGATGACCACAGTCGTTGGGGAACCATTCCTCTCCCTTCATCAAACTGTTGTCCAGATGGCAGGTCCCCACTGCCTGACTCCCAAACTAGACCCATACTTTGACCAGAATGATTCATTCAATGATTTACAATGAGTAAATGATCATAATCAGGTTGGTCAGAGTCAGTGAGCTCCAGGCCTGAGACTTAGGAGCAAGAAAAGACTTCTACGGCCCTGTAATCCCAGCACTTAAGGGAGGCAGAGGTGGGTGGCAACAGTTCAAGAGTTCAAGACCAGCCTGGCCAAGATGGTGAAACCCCATCTCTACTAAAAATACAAAAATTAGCCAGGCATGGTGGCGGGCGCCTGTAATCCCAGCTATTTGGGAGGCTGAGGCGGGAGAATCGCTTAAATCTGAGAGGCAGAGGTTGCAGTCAGCTGAGATCATGCCACTGCACTCCAGCCTGGGCAACAGAGCAAGTCTCTTGTCTCAAAAAAAGAGAAGACTTCTCATCTTAAAGCCAGGAAAATGTGGCTGGACGCAGTGGCTCATGCCTGTAATCCTAGCACTTTGGGAGGCCAAGGCAGGCAGATCACGAGGTCAGGAGATCAAGACCATCCTGGCTAACACAGTGAAACCCTGTCTCTACTAAAAATACAAAAAAAAAAAAAAAAAAAAAAATTAGCCGGGGATGGTGGCTGGCGCCTGTGGTCGCAGCTACTCAGGAGGCTGAGGCAGCAGAATGGTGTGAGCCTGGGAGGTGGAGTTTGCAGTGAGCTGAGATCGCACCACTGCACTCCAGCCTGGGCGACAGAGGGAGACTCCATCTCAAAAAAAAAAAAAAAAAAAAAAGAGAGCCACGAAAATGTATGATGTGTGTATTATTAGGTTTCTCCAAAGAAAGCTAATAGGAGGCAGGTAGATGAGAGGGGATTTAGTAGGATAATTGGCTCATGTGATCATGGAGGCTGAGATGTCCTACCACACACATTGCAGACCCTAAAGCCAGTAGCTCCAGTAGCTGGAGACCCTGGAAAACCAGTAGTGAGGTTCCGTCTGAATCCTAAAGCTTCAGAGCCAGGGACACCAATGGTGTAATTCCAAGTCCAAGGTCGAAGGCCTGAGAACCAGGGATCACTAGTACAAGTCTTGTCAAGACAGGAGGAGGAGGGTGTCCCAGCTCTGGGGAGGAAAATCCTTTCTCTCCTTTTTCTGTTCTATCGGAGCCCTGCAGATTGGATGACGCTCACCCAGAAGTAATGCTTTATCAGAGAAGGTGTTGCTCTGTCACCCAGGCTGGAGCACAGTAGTGTGATCTAAGCTCACTGCCCCTCTTGGGCTAAAGTGACCCTCTTACTTCATCCTCCTGAGTAGCTGGGACAACATGTGCGTGACCACCACACCCTGCTAATTTTCATATTTTTGGTTGAGACAAGCTTTCCACATGTTGCCCAGGCTTGTCTCGATCAAACTCAATCAAGCTCAAGCCATCTGCCCACCTCGGCCTCCCAAAATGCTGATTGTAGGTGCGAGCCACTGAGCCCAGCCACTGTTTTTTTTTTTCTTTGTCTTATTTTTACATCACAGCTCAAATCTGGGTATTTTCTAATCCAGCCAAGTTCACACCTAAAATTAACTATCACAGCACAGTGTGGTTGGAGGCAGGGAATATACCCAGATAAAGGAACTTGGCAGAGAGTGGAGCCAACCTAGAAGAAAGTGGAGCCAAAGCATGAAGCCAGAAAACACTGGTGGTTCCTCGAAAAATTAAACAGAAACCAGGCACAGTGGCGAGTGCCTGTCATCCGAGCTACTCGGAAGGCTGAGGCGGGATGATCCCTTCAGTCCAGGAGTTCAAGGCCAGCCTAGGTAACATAGTGAGACCCAGTTGCTTAATAAAAAAAGAGATGGAGATGGCAAATTTTGTGCTATACGTATCGTACCACCATTCTTTTTTTTTTTTTTTTTTTTTTTTTTCTGAGACAGTTTCACTCTGTTGCCCAGGCTGGAGTTCTATAGTGTCATCTTGGTTCACCACAAACTCTGCCTCCTGGGTTCAAGCAATTCTCTTGCTTCAGCCTCCCAAGTAGCTGGGATTACAGGTGTGTGCCACCATGCCTGGCTAATTTTTGTATTTTTAGTAGCGGCAGGTTTTCACCATGTTGGCCAGGCTGGTCTTGAACTCCTGACCTCGTGATTCGCCCTCCTCAGCCTCCCAAAGTGCTGGGACTATAGGCGTGAGCCACTGCGCCTGGCTGCCAGGAGCTTTTTTTTTTTTTTTTTTTTTTGAGACGGAGTCTCGCCCTATCGCCCAGGCTGAGGCAGGAGAGTGGCGTGAACCCAGGAGGCGGAGCTTGCAGTGAGCTGAGATCACGCCACTGCACTCCAGCCTGGGCAACAGAGCAAGACTCCGTCTCAAAAACAAACAAACAAACAAATTAGTTGGATGTGGTGGTGAGTGCCTGTAATACCAGCTACTCGGGAGGCTAAAGCACAAGAATCACTTGAACCCGGGAGGTTTAGTGAGCTGAGACTGTGCCACTGCACTCCAGCCTGGGCCACAAAGGGAGACTCTGTCTCAAAAACAAACAAACAAAAAAAGCATGGGCAATATGGTAAAACCCAATCTCTACAAAAAATACAAAACTTAGGTGTGGTGTGTACCTGCCATCCCAGCTACTCAGGAGGCTAAGGTGGGAGGATCACCTGAGGCTGCAGTGAGCCATGATTGCACCACTGCACTTAAGCTTCGTCCACAGAGTGAGACCCTGTCTCAAAAAAAAAAAAGGCTGGGCGAGGTGGCTCTCACACCTGTAATCCCAGCACTTTGGGAGGCCGAGGCGAGCAGATCACCTGAAGTAAGGAATTCGAGACCAACCTGCCCAACATGGCGAAACCCCGCCTCTACTAAAAACACAAAAAATTAGCCAGGCGTGGTGGCATGCACCTGTAATCCCAACTACTTGGGAGGCTGAGGCAGGAGAGTCGCTTGAACCCAGGAGACGGAGGTTGCAGTGAGCTGAGATCGCACCATTGCACTCCAGCCTGGGTAACAGGGCAAGACTGTCTGAAAAAAAAAAAAAAAAGTGGATATTGAAGAAAAATTCCCCGAGAAGGGGGAGTGGAGAGCAAAGACAGTTGAAATATTGGGGCGGATTGTCTGGAGGTGACTGACACAGGCAGCTGGCACGAGGGGGCAGCAGCGAGCTTCCAGGCAGCAGGGCCCACCCCAAGGGCGGTCCCTTCGCACATCCAAAGTAGCTGGGGAGCATAGACTGCAGGACCTCAGGTGCCTGGGCCCTGGGGGCACGTGTCCAGGATGGGTGATAGGGGAGGTGGACAGGCTGCCTCTGCCTTCTGGAATCCAGGGATTAGGGCCTAATCAGGGGAAATCTGAGCTGCCTGAAGGTTGGAATTCAGGCAGAGCCAGCAGCCAGTGGGTTTCCGGCCCCCTCCTCCTGCCTGTTGAGAGAATCGCCACAGCTCAGAGACTCCTAGGGCCTTGGAAGTGGGGGTTCCCCCTACCAGCCGCCCACTGGCTCACTGCCCCCCACAAACACACCAGGCCTGGACCTGTACAATAGGCACTTTATTAGTGGTTGGAATGCAGTTACACGCAGGGGTGTGCAGACGCAATGGGGGCAGGGCTGGCGCAGACACAGGAAAGGGGAGACCCCCCCTTCTTTCCCCTGGGGTCGGGGGTTCTCCCTCTCCAGGATCCTGGGACGATGCTGATGAGCAGAGACGTTAAGTCTGAGGGGGGCCTTGGAATATGGCAGAGGGGCAACCGGGAAGCCAGGTCCCCTGAGTTCGACAAGTTTGGCAAAAGGATCATCAAGTGAGGTGTGTGGGCAGAGGGGCCGGGTTTGCCCAGGGCATCTGCCCTCCACCTCTCCCCCTGAAATCATCCCTTGGGTGGGTTCAGTTTCTTTCCTCTCTTACAAAGAGAGCTGTGTCAATAACTGGCAGAGGAAGTCGGGAAATTCAGCCTAACTCCCTCCAGCCCAGCAGGTTTCCATTAAACAGCTATTAGCGATCTCCTCTCCAGCCCGCTCTCCACTGCCAACCCCTGCAAGCAAAAGTCTCCCTCCCGCTCCCTCCTTCCCAGCCAGGAGATACCCCCACCTGGGCACACACACCCCCACCCCAGTCACTCCCAGCTAGGAGGGAGCAAAAGGAAGGCACTCCTTGGCGGCCCCATCTCAGCTGTTGAGACAGATGGAAAAAAAGCTAATAGACCCTTTAATGCATGTCCAGGTTAAAAAATAATAATAATAAAGAAATGCTTCTGGTGGCCCTGGAGCCAACTGTTCAGGTATGGAGAAGGGGTTCAGTCCTGGCCAGAGCAGGCAGGAATAAACGTGGGTGTTCACTGCGGCCAGCAGCTCCCTCAGACACAAACACCATCCTTCCTGTGGTCTGGCCCGTTGTCGTGTAAACGGTTGGGCAGGAAGCATGAGGGAGCTCGCGGAGGTCGGGCCACATGCCGTCCCAGACAGCAAGAGGCCCCACTGGGTTTTTACTCATTTCTCGTAGTCTTGAGGGGCAACCATGAAAACTCCAAGCGCCCCTTGGCATAAGAAGGAGATACCCCGGACTCTCCAGGTCCAGAAACTGGTGGGATCTGGCTCATGGGGAGGGGGCAGAGCGGCAGTGATAGGACTTCGGGTGAGCCCAAGGGGCTGGGGGAACAGACCCAGCTACTGAGCACCCTGCGGCGTGAGGCTCCTTGAGAGGTGAGGAGCGCGGGGCCTTCAGGACTCCGCTGCCTTCTTGTTGGTCTTGTTCAAGAGTTTCTTGAGGGTGGAAGACATGAAGTAAGGCCTCTCGGCCGAGCCGTCATTCCTCTCCAGGTCCTCCACTGCGGAGAGAGGTCCCAGAGCAGGAGGCATGAGGGGAGCCCACGGGCAGGGGCCTCCGGGGACAGGGTGGGTGGACAAGGGTCACAGAGAAGCCTCAGAGGGTTAGAAAGCAGACACACTGGGACCAGAGAGGGGCAGACTGTAGTGGGCTCCGAGGAACACACAGGATCCCCACACTCCCAGGCCAGGAAGCCCCCCCGCTTCATGCACCCCCAGTCTACATGGAGGAAACCTGGCCCCCACGCCAGCCTCCCTCACTCTCTACTCCTCGGCTTCCGCCCGCTTCCCCTCCTCCGCACTCCCCTTCAACAGGATGTCTCTCAGCTCGGGCGACATGAAGTAGGGTCGCTCCTGAGAGCCGTCATTCCTTTCCAGGTCCTCACCTGGGCTCCCCCCGGGAACCGGCAGGGGGAAAATGGGGTGGTCAGGAAGGGAGGGAAAGAGGGAGGCAGGGAAGAACAGGGAAGCCAGCAGGCATGGAGGAGAGGAAGAGAGACGAAAAAAACAAACAAAAAAAAACAGTTGGAGAAACCAGAGTTAGTGGCAGCCACAGATCCCCCCCCATCAAAGCCAGAAACTGCGAAGCGCGGGTGGGCTCCAGGGCAGCGTCCAGGCTGCAGCCTGGGCAAGTGGACAGGAGGTTGGAGTTGCTTCTAAGCGCAAAAGGAAACCAGGAAGACAGTCTGGGGACCCAGGACGAGGGACAGCCAAGCCCCGGGGAAGCTGGGGGCAGGCGACCGTGGTGCCCCGTTGGAGGGTGATGTGATGCCCAGTGGGAAGAAGGGATTTGGGGCCCAGCAAGGTTTGGGGTGAGGGGTCACTCACAGAAGCAGAGGAACAGTGTGTCCACACACATGCCATAGACGCTGAAGAAACCATGTGCAATCAGGTAGGAGCCAACGATCACCGTCTGGGCAAGGAGAAACAAGCCGTCCCTGCTCCACGTCCTTCCCAGAGCAGCCCCCACCCACTGTGTCTCTCCTACGCTGGGACCACGTCCTTCCCCTGCTGAGAAACCTTCTTTGGATTAATGACATCCCAACCCCTCACCCCCGCTGGCAGGGCCCCGCGATACACACAAAGCCCTCTTTCTCTCTCTTCCTCTCTTTTTTTCTTTTTTGAGACGGAGTCTCACTCTGTCACCTAGGCTGGAGCACCATGGCGTGATCTCGGCTCACTGCAACCTCCGTCTCCCGAGTTTAAGCCGTTCTGCCTCAGCTTCCCGAGGAGCTGGGACTACAGGCATGCGCCACCACGCCAGGCTCATTTTTGTATTTTTAGTAGAGATGGAGTTTCACCACGTTGGCCAGGCTGGTCTCAAACTCCTGACCTCAGGTGATCCACCTGCCTTGGCCTCCCAAAGTGCTGGGATTACAGGCATGAGCCACCGCACCTGGCCTTTTTTTTTTTTTTTTTTTTTTTGAGACAGGGTCTCACAATCTCACTCTGTAGCCCAGGCTGGAGTGTAGTGGCGTGATCTCGGCTCACTGCAAACTCTGCCTCCTGGGCTCAAGTGATCCTCCCACCTCAGCCTCCGGAGTAGCTGGGATTACAGATGTGCACCACCATGCCTGGCTAACCTTTGTATTTTTTGTAGAGATGGGTTTTTGCCACGTTATCTATTACCCTTCCTGGGCTTAAGAGATTCGCCCACCTTGGCCTCCCAAAGTGCTGGGACTACAGGTATGAGCCACCGCACCCAGTCTCATCCTTGCTTTATTTAACCCCTGGGCCTCTGCATGTGCTATTGCCCTGACTTAAATCTAATTTATGCCTCATCAACCTTCTGCTTTCAGCTCAAAGAGCAAATTCTCAAGTCCCACCTCCTCCAGGAAACCACCTATGACACATAGAGTGGGCTTTTCTATTTTTTTTTTTTTTTTTGAGACGGAGTCTTGCTCTGTCACCCAGGCTGGAGTGCAGTGGCCGGATCTCAGCTCACTGCAAGCTCCGCCTCCCGGGTTTACGCCGTTCTCCTGCCTCAGCCTCCCGAGTAGCTGGGACTACAGGCGCCCGCCACCTCGCCCGGCTAGTTTTTTTGTATTTTTTAGTAGAGACGGGGTTTCACCGTGTTAGCCGGGATCGTCTCTCGATCTCCTGGCCTCGTGATCCGCCCGTCTCGGCCTCCCAAAGTGCTGGGATTACAGGCTTGAGCCACCGCGCCCGGCCGGGCTTTTCTATTTTTATTTTTATTTTTTTTTGAGACAGGGTCTCACTGTGTTGCTCAGGCTGGAGTGCAGTGGCACCATCTCAGCTCACTGCAGCCTTGATACTCACACCTCAGGCTTACAAGTAGCTCAAGTGATACTCACACCTCAGGCTTACAAGTAGCTGGGACTATAGGCATGTGCCACCATACCCAGCTAATTTTTGTATATATATTTTTTTTTTTTTTAGAGATGAGGTTTTGCCATGTTGCCCAGGCTGGTTTCAAACTCCTGAGCTCAAGCGATCTGCCTGCCTTGGTCTCCCAAAGTGCTGGGATTATACATGTGAGCCCCTGCATCTGGCTGAGAGCCTTTTTTTTTTTTTTTTTTTTTCCTGAGATGGAATCTTGCTGTGTTGTCCAGGCTGGAGTGCAGTGGTATGATCTCGGCTCACTGCAACCTCCACCTCCCGGGTTCAAGTGATTCTCTTGCCTCAGCCTCCTGAGTAGCTGGGACTACAAGTACGTGCCAGCACACCTGACTAATTTTTTTTTTTTTTTTTTGAGACGGAGTCTTGCTCTGTCGCCCAGGCTGGAGTGCAGTGGCCGGATCTCAGTTCACTGCAAGCTCCGCCTCCCGGGTTCACACCATTCTCCTGCCTCAGCCTCCCAAGTAGCTGGGACTACAGGTGCTTGCCAACTCGCCCGGCTAGTTTTTTTTTTTTTTTTTTTTTTTGAGACGGAGTCTCGCTCTGTTGCCCAGGCTGGAGTGCAGTGGCCGGATCTCAGCTCACTGCAAGCTCCGCCTCCCGGGTTCGGGCCATTCTCCTGTCTCAGCCTCCTGAGTAGCTGGGACTACAGGCGCCCGCCACCTCGCCCGGCTAGTTTTTTGTATTTTTTAGTAGAGACGGGGTTTCACCGTGTTAGTCAGGATGGTCTCGATCTCCTGACCTAGTGATCCGCCCGTCTCGGCCTCCCAAAGTGCTGGGATTACAGGCTTGAGCCACCGCGCCCGGCCAGGCTAGTTTTTTTGTATTTTTAGTAGAGACGGGGTTTCACTGTGTTAGCCAGGATGGTCTCGATCTCGCGACGTTCATGATCTGCCCACGTTGGCCTCCCAAAGTGTGGGCCACCATGCCCGGCCTCTAGAGCCTATTTTATGTCCTCCTAGCACTGGGCACCCCTCCTGAGCTCTTGGTGTAGCTGCAATTTTATGCATGTTTAGGGCTTTCCAGGTTTAATGCCCACATCCTCACTAGACCCAGTCCCATTTACTGCTACATCCATAGCAATCTGAAGACTCACAGGGCCTAAGTAGCTGCTAGATAAACATTTGTTGACTGAAGTCAGTAGACATGGCTGGGTGTGATGGCTCATACATGTAGTCCTTGCACTTTGGGAGGCTGAGGCGGGAGGATCCCTTGAGCCCAGAGCTCGAGACCAGCCTGGGCAATAGAGGGAGACCCTGCCTCTATTATTATTATCATTATTATTATTATAGTAGAGTGTGAGCTACCACACCCGGCCTATCTCTATTATATTAAAATAAAAATTCGCCAGGCATGGTGGGTCACACCTGTAATCCCAGCACTTTGGGAGGCTGAGGCAGGTGGATCACGAGGTCAGGAGTTCAAGACCATCCTGGCTAACACAGTGAAACTCTGTCTCTATTAAAAATGCAAAAAAATTAGCCAGGCATGGTGGCAGGCACCTGTGGTCCCAGCTACTCAGGAGGCTAAGGCAGGAGAATGGCATGAACCCAGGAGGCGGAGCTTGCAGTGAGCCAAGATCGCGCTATAGCACTCTAGCCTGGGCGACACAGTGAGACTCCATCTCAAAAAATAAATAAATAAATAAAAATAAAATAAAATACAAATTCAATACAATGAAATCATGGCCAGGCATAAGGGGTCATGCCTGTAATCCCAACACTTTGGAAGGCTGAGGTGGGTGGATCACCTGAAGTCAGGAGTTCGAGACCAGCCTGACCAACAGGGTGAAACCCCATCTCTACTAAAAATACAAAAATTAGCCGAGTACAGTGGCATGTGCCTGTAATCCCAGCTACTAGGGGAACTGAGGCAGGAGAATCGCTTGAACCCGGGAGGTGGAGGTTGTGTGAGCAGAGATCACTCCATTGCATTCCAGCCTGGGTGACAAAGCAAGGCTCCATATCTCAAAAAAAGAAAAAAAAAAGTCAGTGGACCTTAGAGGGATTAAATAACTTGCCTAAGATTACTCTTCCTCATCTTAGAACTAGCAAATAGAGGATCCAAGATAAGAAACTAGGTCACTGGGCTTCAAGACCTACACTGAGGTACAATACTGCCCTTGCAATGAAGGCTCAATCACTCCACAGCCTTATTACCTCCTTGGCCGTATCGCCACCTTTTTTTTTTTTTTTTTTTGAGACAGAGCACTCTGTCACTGAGGCTGGAGTGCAGTGTCATGATCTCGGCTCACTGCAACCTCTGACTCCCAGGTTCAAGCAATTCTCCTGCCTCAGCCTCCTGAGTAGCTGGGATTACAGGCGCCCACAACCACACCCGGCTAATTTTTGTATTTTTTTGTAGAGATGGGGTTTCGCCATGCTGGCCAGGCTAGTCTCAAACTCCTGACCTCAAGTGATCCACCTGTCTCAGCCTCCCAAAGTGCTGGGATTACAGGTGTGAGCCACCGCACCCGGTCCCTATCTCCACTTCTTTACTCCTTCCACATCAGCCCCACTGCTTTCCTTACTGTTCCTGGCACACTCGCACCTCAGGGCCACTGTACTTGCTGTTCCCTCTGCGTGGATATTGCCTACAGCTTCAGATCTCGGATCCAACATCACCTGCATGGCACCACCTGGACCCCCACACCTGCCCAGATCCCCCACCACAGGTTCAAACGGTTCCCTGTGCTATACATACTAGTGATGTATCCCAGTCTGCAATCATACATTCACCAATATCATTATGGAGGAATATCTGTTTACCCCCAAACTCTAAGGCCTTTAGAGGGAAGCCCTCCACCTCAATGCTGAATACACAGTAGGTGCTCAATGTCTGTGGTCCGAGGTCGGGGGTGGTGGGTCACACCTGCAATCCCAGCACTCTGTGAGCCTGAGGCAGGCGGATCACTTGAGGTCAGGAGTTTGAGACCATCCCAGCCAACATGGTGAAACCCCATCTCTATTAAATATACAAAAATTAGCCAGGTGTGATGGCTCATGCCCATAATCCCAGCACTGTGGGAGGCCGAGGCGGGAGGATCACCTGAGGTTGGGAGTACGAGACCAGCCTGACCAACACGGAGAAACCCAGTCTCTACTAAAAATATAAAATTAGTCACACATGATAGCACATGCCTGTAATCCCAGCTACTCAGGAGGCTGAGGTAGGAGAATTGCTTGAACCCGGGAGGTGGAGGTTGCAGTGAGCCGAGATCACCCCATTGCACTCCAGCCTGGGCAACAAGAGTGAAACTCTGTCTCAAAAAAACAAAAAGGCCGGGCGCGGTGGCTCAAGCCTATAATCCCAGCACTTTGGGAGGCCGAGACGGGTGGATCACAAGGTCAGGAGATCGAGACCATCCTGGCTAACCCGGTGAAACCCCATCTCTACTAAAAAATACCAAAAAACTAGCCGGGCGAGGTGGTGGGCGCCTGTAATCCCAGCTACTCGGGAGGCTGAGGCAGGAGAATGGCGTAAACCCGGGAGGCGGAGCTTGCAGTGAGCTGAGATCCGGCCACTGCACTCCAGCCTGGGTGACAGAGCGAGACTCCGTCTCTAAAACAAAAAACAAAAAACAAAAAAAATTAGCCAGGTGTGGTGGCATGTGCCTGTAATCCCAGCTAATCAGCAGGCTGAGGCACGAGAATCGCCTGAACTAGGGAGGTAGAGGTTTCAGTGAGCCAAGATCATTTCACTGCACTCCAACCTGGGCAACAGAGTGAGTCTGTCTCAAAAAAGAAAAAAAAGGAAAAAAAAAAAGATTAAATTAAATTAAATTAAAATTAAAAAATAAATATACAAAAATTAGCCAGGTGTGGGGGCAGGCGCCCGTAATCCCAGCTACTCGGGAGGCAGAAGCTTGAGAATTCGCTTGAACCCAGCAGGCAAAGGTTGCAGTGAGCCAACATTGCACAACTGCACTCCAGCCAGGGCAACAGGGCAAGACTCTGATGCAAAAACAAACAAAGAGTCCGAATAAATAATCAATTCCCCACCTCTGACCTCTAGCCACATTTATCTAGTCAAAGAAGACCAAGCAAATCCCAACACCTCTTTCTTCCCAAACCCCCATCTCTCCCCAGAGGTCCATACCAGTATAGGAACCCAGTAATAATTGAGGGGTGGTGCTGTATCCTGCACGATCCTGATACGGTGGGTGAAGAAGAAGAAAGCCAGGATACCTGGAGAAGGAGAAGAAAGCAAGATGGTGAAGGGTTCTGGATATAGGAAATAGCCTCCTAAGAAGATGACACCCATCACAGAAGACAGAAATCAGGCTCCCACACCCTGAGAGGCGAGGTGGGCGGCACTTACCCACACTGCCTACGATCAAAAGTTTGCCCAACAGGAAGAGGAAGTCGGTAACTTTGTCCAGGACAGCCACTCTGCAGGGGACAGTGAGGGGCAGGTGTTAATGCTGGCTTCAGGGACTAGGGGAAGAGGGAGGTGGCAGGAGGAAGATGGTGCTGATTCCTGACCTGATGATGTTTCTCATGAGCAGGAAGAAGGCATTCCTGGCCGAGGTGCAGAAATTGGTGCCGTAGATGGCAATCTGGAGGAGGGTGGGAGGGAGAGATCAGACCCACTGGGTGGGCATGGGGGGTGGTCCTCTCACCCAGCAGGAGCTGGTGGGTTGGTTGGGGGTCCCAGGCCCACTCACCATGATGTAGGCATTCCTATTGAGGAATTTGATGAACTTCTCCAGGCACCAGAAGCAGCATTTGAGACAGGTCATGAGGCACTTGGCAAACTTGTTCTCTGCGGCTGGAAGAGAAGGGAAGGGATGCAGAAGTGAGGGGACACCGCCTGACATGGAAGGGATCCCCTCTTCCCTATCACACACACTTGCCAATGTCCAGGTCTCCTGAGTCCATGCTGTCAAAGAGACAGGGACTTGAGCCCAGGAGTTTGAGACCACAGTAAGCCATGATGGTGCCACTGCACTCCAGCCTGGACGACAGAGAAAGATCCTGTCTCTAAAGCAAAGTATAATCAATCCCAGCCCCACAGCCCTTCCTCTAAGAAAAATAAACCAGTTCTTTTTTTTTTTTTTGAAATGGAGTCTTGCTCTGTTTCCCAGGCTGAAGTGCAGTCGCTCAATCTCGGCTCACTGCAACCTCCACCTCTGGGGTTCAAGTGATTCTCCTCTCTCAGCCTCCCGAGTAGCTGGGACTACAGACGCGCATACCACCATGGCTGGCTAATTTTTGTATTTGTAGTAGAGATGGGGTTTCATCATGTTGGCAGGCTGGTCTCCTGACCTCAGGTGATCCGCTCGCCTCAGCCTCCCAAAGTGCTGGGATTATAGGCCTGAGTCACGGCGCTCAGCTAATAAACCAGTTTTATTCGTGCTTCCTTCAGCGCAAATATATCCCACTCCAATTCACTCTAGCAATAATCAATGGTGGGCCAGTCCTCTTGGGCCTGTCCCCTCAACAGCAAGAATTCCACCCAGTAGATTCTCTGGTTTGCTCCTCCATCGCAGGACCCAATCACGCCAACTCCTGAGCTCCCCCGCGGCATAGACAGAAATCCATCACTGCTCTATGATCTTGGCACCGCCCACCTCCAAGCAAGAACCAATCCTGGTTTGCTATTCAGCCTCGCCCCCCAACAGGAGCTAATGCAAGCGGTGGGTGGGCCGTACCTTTCAGCCGCTGATCCAGGTACTCGAGTATCACACGAATGATCTGCACAATGGCCAGGATGAGCGCGCCAAAGGCCAGGGAGCCCGTGTGGTACCTGCGGGCCGAGGGGGTGGTCGGTGGCTGGGCCAGGCCTCGTCCTCCACCCCATCCTGCCCGCAACGCCAGCCCACCTGAGCGCCCGGCCAAAGGCAGAGAAGAGCGGGAAGGCCGGCAGGTCGTCCGGCTTGCGCAGGGCCCAGTAGTAGGAGGCAAAGGCCCCGGCCAGTGTGACCTGGCCCAGAGCCAGCACGAAGTTGGCCAACCAGAAGAACATGAAGGCATTGAAGATCTGCAGGCCCAGCAGGGCCCGGTGGTAGCCCGACTCACCACCGTAGAAGGCGAACTGGCAACGGGCATTGGGGCATAGGCGGGACTCATTGGAGGAGGGGAAGGTCTGTGGGAGAGAAGGGAAAACCGAGTCCAAAAAGAGGCGCCAGGGGTTCACAGTGGGCTCTGAGCATCAGGTGTGGGGCCAGGAAAACCATGAGGTAGGACAGGAGACATAAGGATCAGAGTTAAGTGAAGGAACTAAGGGTTTGGAACACAGCTTGTGCAAAGGAAAGAATTCTAGAAACAAGAAGTGGCCATCACCAGGGTCAAGAAGAGAGAATGGAGACAGGAAATGAAATGGGGAAAAATGGGCCGGGCAAGGTGGCTCACACCTGTAATCCCAGCACTTTGGGAGGCAGAGGCGGGTGGATCACGAGGTTAGGAGATCGAGACCATCCCGACCAACATGGTGAAACGCTGTCTCTACTAAAAATACAAAAATTTGCCTGGCGTGCTGGTGTGTGCCTGTAATCCCAGCTACTCGGGAGGCTGAGGCAGGAGAATTGCTTGAACCAGGGAGTTGGAAGTTGCAGGGAGCTGAGATCATGCCACTGCACTCCAGCCTGGCGACAGAGTGAGACTCTGTCTCATAAAAAAAAAAAGAAAAGAGGGAAAAATAGGTGATTTAGCACCCAGGGTGAAGGCCAGGGCAAGTTGAAGACAGGAAGCCAGGTTGTCCTGGGAAGTTGTTCAATCCAGTTAGAGAGTCTCTTCCCCACCGTGCATTCTCCCCCACACCCAGCACAGGACATGCAACAGGAGCCAATTGCTTGCTGAACCTCCAAGGGGACGTGAGAGGTTTAAAATCATCCGGGGCCTTCTGGGGCAATACCTGCCCTCCCCACCCTGGGGACACCCACCTCTGGGTTGCAGGTTTTCGCAGTAAGTGAGCAGGAGCTATCATCAAAGATCTTATAGACCGCTTCATTGGAAGTGGACAGGAAGCTGGAGGTTCATTAAGGAAGCAGAGGTCTAGGACTGAGGACCCCAGGGACTTTCGTGGGAAAGAATCCATTATCCCACCAGTTTCCAGCCTTGTCCCTAAGATGCAGGTCACTACTGGGCAAAGTTGGTCTTTAGCCATCCCTGGGTCAGAGATTGGTGTCTGGGGGTGGATACACAGCAGTGCTGGCCCAGTAGGCGATGCAGAGGCACAGCAAGAAGAAGGTGACCAGTGGGTAGAGCAAGGAGCACATGACATATCCCACAGCCCTAGGGAGGAGCAGAGACACAGGCATCAGGGCAAAAGACACAACTCTAGGGACAGCTCCATCCTGACCCCCGGCACCGGGCCCCCACCTGCTGGCTTCTTTGATGAGTGCAATCGCGATGAGAATTCTCTTCCGGAGAAAGATGAGCAGCAAGATGATAATGACTTCAAGGATACTCAGAATGATCACTGCAAAGGGCAAAGGCTGAGCCGCCTGGGCTCCCCACTCCCTCCAAGGCCTCATGTCGGGGCAGGATTGGGAGACTGTGACTCACTAAAGGCCAACCAGGTCTGCCGTAAGTGCAGGTACACCCGGAAATCCGTCTGAAAGCCGAGGTCCACCAAAGAGACATCAGAGCCAGCCTCACCACGCAGTCGGGAGTACTCCATGTAGCAGTGAAAGATTCCTGCATGGGGGAAACCACAAGCTCCGTCCACCAATGCCTCCTGCAACTTTGCAAAGCGCTACAACTGCCCGCATTTAACAGAAGCAAACATCGAGGCTGAGAGGCTGCCTCTTCTAGCCCCTGCTTCAGGGACTTTACACCTGCAGTTCCCACCGCCCGGTGCATTCTCTCCCCATGGCTGGATCCCACACATCTTTAGGTCTCTCTGCTCAAGTGTCACCTTCACAGGAGACCTTCCAGAACCCTTTCCCCCTACTTGGAATCATAATCATGTGCTGCCAGGGTCTAACTTCTCTTTTTTTTGAGACGGAGGCTCATTCTGTCACCCGGGCTGGGGTGCAGCGGCACGATCTGGGCTCACTGCAACCTCCACCTCCAGGGTTCAAGAGATTCTCCCTGCCTCAGCCTCCCGAGTAGCTGGGATTACAGGTGCCCGCTACCATGCCCAGCTAATTTTTGTATTTTTTAGTAGAGACAGGGTTTTGCCATGTTGGCCAGGATGGTCTCGAGCTCCTGACCTCAGGTGATCCGCCCACCTCAGCCTCCCAAAGTGCTGAGATTATAGGCGTGAGCCACCACGCCCAGCCAGGATAGCTGTTGAATGAATGAATGAATGAGCAGGTGTCAGGATGCTGCATGGCTAAGACCTCCCTCTGACCCCCTCGCCACCTTATAACAGTGATTCTCGGGAGTGGCCTGGGTATTAATATGTAGAGCAGCATTAGAAATTTTCAGCATTCTTCTTAGCTTGCAAACTATAATTATAAAATAAAGACAGGCTTGGCCGGGCGCAGTGGCTCACGCCTATAATCCCAGTACTTTGGAAGGCCAAGGCAGGTGGATCACAAGGTCAGGAGATCGAGACCATCCTGGCTAACACTGTGAAACCCCGTCTCTACTAAAAATACAAAAAATTAGCTGGGCATGGTGGCACATGCCTGAGTCCCAGCTACTTGGGAGGCTGAGGCAGGAGAATCACTCCAACCCGGGAAGGAGAAGTTGCAGTGAGCCAAGATTGCGCCACTGCACTGCACTCCAGCCTGGGCGACAGGGTGAGACTCCGGTTCGAAAAAAAAAAAAAAAGACAGGCATGGTGTGGTGGCTCATGCTTGTAATCGCAGCACTTTGGGAGATAAAGTAAAAAAAAAAATCAAGCTACCTAAAATGCCAACACCCAGCTAGAAACCACTATTTTTTTGGTTGCATTGAGTATATTACTATTACTTTAAGACAGGGTCTACCTCTGTCATACAGGCTGGACTGCAGTGGTGCCATCGTAGCTCACTGCAGCCTCAGCTTCCTGGGCTCAAGCTATTCTCCCACCTCAGCCTCCCAAGTCGCTGAGACTACAGGTGCATACAGCTAATTTTTTTTCTTTTTTTTTTGAGACGGAGTCTCTCTCTGTCACCCAGGCTGGAGTGCAGTGGCGTGATCTCGGCTCACTGCTACCTCTGCCTCCCAGGTCCAAGTGATTCTCCTGCCTCAGCCTCCCAAGTAACTGGGACTATAGGCACGTACCACCAAGCCTGGCCAAGTTTTTGTATTTTTACTAGAGACGGGGTTTCATCCTGTTAGACAGGATGGTCTCAATCTTCCCTGACCTCCTGATCTGCCTGCCTTGGCCTCCCAAAGTGCTGGGATGACAGGCGGGAGCCACTGTGCCCGGGCCCCAGATAATTTAAAAATTATTATTATTTATTTATTTAATTTTTTTTTTGAGACAGAGTCTCACTCTGTTGCCCAGGCTGGAGTGCAATGGCACGATCTCAGCTCGCTGCAGCCTCTGCCTCTCAGATTCAAGAGATTCTCCCGCCTCAGCCTCCCAAGTAGCTGGGATTACAGGCATGCTCCACCATGCCCATCTAATTTTGTATTTTTATTAGAGATGGGGTTTCACCATGTTATTCAGGCTGGTCTCAAATTCCACCTTAAGTGATCCACCCACCTCAGCCTCCCAAAGTGCTGGCATTACAGGTGTGAGGCATGGTGCCTGGCCTTAAATTTATTTTTGGCAATGGGATCTCACCGTGTTGCCCGGGGTGGAATGCAGTTGCTTGATCATGGCTCACTGCATCCTCAAACTCCTGGACTCAAGTGAATCTCCTGCTTCAGCCTCCCAAAGTGCTGGAATTACAGGCATAAACCTGCCTAGAAACCACTGTTTTCTTTTTTTTTTAAGACGGAGTTTCACTATTGTTGCCCAGGCTAGAGTCCAATGGCAGAATCTCAGCTTACGGCAACCGCCAACTCGCGAGTTCAAGTGATTCTCCTGCCTCAGCTTCCCAAGTAGCTGGGATTATAGGCATGCGCCACCACGCCCAGCTAATTTTGTATTTTTAATAGAGATGGGGTTGGCCGGGTGTGGTGGCTCACAACTGTAATCCTAGCACTTTGAGAGGCCAAGATGGGCAGATCATGAAGTCAGGAGTTCGAGACCAGCCTGACCTGACATGGCTAAACTCCATCTCTACTAAAAATACAAAAATACCAAAAAAAAAAAAAAAAAATTAGCTGGGCGTGGTGGTGGGGGCCAGTAATCTCAGCTACTCAGGAGACCGAGGCAAGAGAATTGCTTGAATTCGGGAGGCGGAGGTTGCAGTGAGCTGAGATTGTGCCACTGCACTCCAGCCTGGACAACAGTGCGAGACTCTGTCTCAAAAAAAAAATAATAAGGCCGGGCACAGTGACTCACGCCTGTAATCCCAGCACTTTGGGAGGCTGAGGCAGGAGATCATGAGGTCAGGAGATCGAGACCATCCTGGCTAACACGGTGAAACCCTATCTCTACTAAAAATACAAAAAATTAGCCGGGTGTGGTGGTGGGCACCTGTAGTTCCAGCTACAAGGGAGGCTGAAGGAGGAGAATGGCGTGAACCTGGGAGACGGAGCTTGCAGTGAGCCGAGATCGCACCACTGCACTCCAGCCTGGGTGACAAAGCGAGACTCTGTCTCAAAAAAAAAATTAGCCGGGCATGGTGGCAGGCGTCTGTAGTCCCAGCAACTTGGGAGGCTGAGGCAGGAGAATGGCGTGAACCCAGGAGGCAGAGCTTGCAGTGAGCCGAGATTGCGCCACTGCACTCCAACCTGGGCGACGGAGAGAGACTCTGTCTCAAGAAAAAAAAATAATAATAATAATAAAAATAAAATAAAAATAGAGATGGGGTTTCTACATGTTGGTCAGGCTGATCTCGAACTCCCGACTTCAGGTGATCCACCCACCTCAGGCTCCCAAATTGCTGGGATTATAGGCGTGAGCCACCACACCAGGCTAGAAACCACTATTCATACGAATATTTTACTATGAGTGTCCTCAGATTGGATTACCAAGCATTTTTCTTCTAGGAAAGTTCAAGGAATAATCAAAATATGGGCCGGGCACAGTGGCTCATGCCTATAATCCCAACACTTAGGGAGGCCAAGGCGGGAGGATTGCTCAAGCTCAGGGAGTTCAAGACTAGCCTGGGCCACATAGGGAGCGCCTGTCTCTACAAAAATATTTAAAATTTAGCCAGGCATGATGGTGCATGCCTGTGGTTTCAGCTACTTGGGAGGATCACTTGAGCCCAGGAGGTCAAGGCTGCAGTGAGCTGTGATTATGCCACTGAACTCCAGCCTGGGTGACAGAGTGAGACTCTGTCCCAAAAAACAAATCAAGGCTGGGCATGGTGGCTCACATCTGTAATCCCAGCACTTTGGGAGGCCAAGCCAGGCAGATCACAAGGAAGTTAAGACCAGCCTGGCCAACATGGTAAAACCCCGTCTCTACTAAAAATACAAAAAAAATTAGCCAGGCATGGCATTGGGCACCTGTAAACCCAGATACTCAGGAGGCTGAGGCAGGAAAATTGCTTGAACCCGGGAGGCGGAGGTTGCAGTGAGCCAAGGCTGTGCCACTGCACTTCAGCCTGGGTGACCAAGCCTCTGTCTCAAAACAAAACAAAACAAAAACTCAAAAACAACAAAAATCCAAAATATGAAGCATTGTTTTGTTGAGCACAATATTGTGCCTCTGGATTCCATAGGCCTGAACTAAACAGGCCCCTACACATATTTTATCTGCACATTACCTCCTTGTCATTTAGTTTGCCAACTGGAAATATAAATTACCCTCATTTTACAGAGAAAGAAACTGAAGCAGGCCAGGCATGGTGGTTCATGCCTGTAATCCTAGCACTTTTGGGGGCTGAAGTGGGCAGATCTCCTGAGGTCGGGAATTCGAGACCAGCCTGACCAACATGGAGAAACCCCGTCTCTACTAAAAATACAAAATTAGCCGGGTGTGGAGGGGCATGCCTGTAATCCCAACTACTCAGTAGGCTGAGGCAGGAGAATTGCTTGAACCCAGGAGGCGGAGGTTGCAGTGAACCAAGATCACGCCATTGCACTCCAGCCTGGGCGACAAGAACGAAACTCCATCTCAAAAAAAAAAGAGGCCGGGCGCGGTGGCTCAAGCCTGTAATCCCAGCACTTTGGGAGGCCGAGGCGGGTGGATCACGAGGTCAGGAGATCGAGACCATCCTGGCTAACATGGTGAAACCCTGTCTCTACTAAAAATACAAAAAACTAGCCGGGCGTGGTGGCGGGCGCCTGTAGTCCCAGCTACTTGGAGGCTGAGGCGGGAGAATGGCGTGAACCCGGGAGGCGGAGCTTGCAGTGAGCCGAGATCGCGCCACTGCACTCCAGCCTGGGCAACACAGCGAGACTCCGTCTCAAAAAAAAAAAAAAAAAAGAAAGAGGCCGGGCGCGGTGGCTCACGCCTGTAATCCCAGCACTTTGGGAGGCAGAGGCAGGTGGATCACGAAGTCAGGAGATCGAGACCAACCTGGCTAACACGGTGAAACCCCGTCTCTACTAAAAATTCAAAAAATTAGCCGGGCGTGGTGGCGGGTGCCTGTAGTCCCAGCTACTTGGGAGGCTGAGGCAGGGGAATGGCGTGAGCCCGGGAGGCAGAGCTTGCAGTGAGCAGAGATCACGCCACTACACTCCAGCCTGGGCGATAGAGTGAGACTAGGTCTCAAATAAAAATTAAAAAAAAAAGAGAAATTGAAGCACAGTTAGGTTGAGGCACTTGCCCAAGGAATTGGCAAAGCCAGGATTTGAACCTCTGCTATTCTGGTACCATAGTATGCATCCTTAACTACAGCGCTGAGACATTTTTTCTTTTTCTTTTTTTTTGAGACGGAGTTTCGCTCTTGTTGCCCAGGCTGGAGTGCAATGGCGTGAACTCGGCTCACTGCAACCTCCGCCTCCCAGGTTCAAGCGATTCTCCTGCCTCAGCCTCCCTAGTAGCTGGGATTACAGGTATATACCACCATGCCCAGCTAATTTTGTATTTTAAGTAGAGATGGGGTTTCTCCATGTTGGTCAGGCTGGTCTCGAACTCCTGACCTCAGTGATCTGCCTGCTTTGGCCTCCCAAAGTGCTGGGATTACAGATGTGAGCCACCGCACCCAGCCTGACATTTTCTTTTTTTTCCCTGATGGGCCATTTCCATGGGAAAGGGCAGGGCAGTGTGCAGATTCAGGAAAGAAGAGTCACGGGGAGGGGGTAACCTACCGTAGCCCAGCACCAGAATCACCATAATGATCATCACCCAGACCATAATGCCAGCCAGGAAGCGGAGCAGGATGATGAATAGGAGGCTCATTGCCATAGCAATGACCAGACCTCTGGGGAAAAGAAAATGGTCATGAACAGACTCCATCCCCGGCCAGGCTTAGAAGGGGCAGCCAGGGGAGAGGCCCCTTCCCTCCTGCCTTACATGATAATCCAATACCAAGAGACGGTGTAATCTTCAAATATGCGCATGGCGAGTTGCCGCGCCTCTAGGACTCCATTGGCTTTCCTGGGGGAAGGAGACCGAGGCTCAGGTCAGACCCTCTTCTGTGATCAGGTCAACCCCAGGGGATGCCTGTCCCACCCAGGAAAGTGCGACCCCGGTGTGGTGCGCCAATCTCCTCACTTAGCGCCCTCCACCAGGTCCGTGATGTTTTTCCGGGAGCCATGCCCATCCTCATAAGTCGTCTCATTGCCCACCATCAGGACACCCTTGTGGGCGTGGATGGCGGGGAAGCATCTCCGGGCCACTGCATGGAGCAGAGGATGGGACCAGTCAGGCTGAGCCTCTGCACAGCCTCCCCGTCCCCACCTGAGTCTCCTGGGATCCCCTGACTCACAGGGTTTGCTGGGGATGAGGACAGCAGGGCAGTCACCATCTCGAAGCACCTCAGCCACTCCCTGCCAAGAGAGATGGAGGGAGGTGAGTCCCCAAGGCTAGTACACTGCCGCTGCCCATACCTGGGCTCTCAGGACAGTCTACAACTCACTTTATTGTCCTTGAAGCCAGGAACACAGAACTGCTTATAGTACTCAAAGTCCCGGGAGCTGCGAGCATTCAGGTACGTGAGGTAGCGGTCGGGGCATTTTTCCACGCAGATCTGGGCGGGAAGAAGGAAGGCATTGGGTGGGGTTGGGACAGACCACTCAGGACAGAGGTCCCAGCCCACATTCACAGGGGGAAAAGGATGGAAAGTGGGGAGAGGAAAAAGGGAATGGTGGGGACAGGTTACCTGAGGAGTGGGACATTGGAATTCCAGCAGAACCAGGGGGCTGGCACATTTCACAATGTTGAAATAAAACAAGTAGGGTTTGTTCCTGGAGTTGGAGAAGGGAGAATGGAAACTGTTAAGACTTCTTTTTTTTTTTTTTTTTTTTTTTTTTGACGAAATCTCGCATTGTTGCCCAGGATGGAGTGCAATGGCACGATCTTGGCTCACTGCAACCTCCGCCTCCTGGGTTCAAACGATTCTCCTGCCTCAGCCTCCCGAGTAACTGGGATTACAGGTGCCCGCTTCCAAGCCTGGCTAATTCTGTATTTTTAGTAGAGACGGGGTTTCAACCATGTTGGCCAGGCTGGTCTCAAACTCCTGACCTCAAGTGATCCACCTGCCTTCGCCTCCCAAAGTGTTGGGATTATAGGTGTGAGCCACCACACCCAACCTGTTAAGACTTCTTAACCACCCTATAGTAAACTTTATTTTATTTTATTTTTTTTTTTTTTTGAGACGGAGTCTTGCTCTGTCACCCAGGCTGGAGTACAGTGGCCGGATCTCAGCTCACTGCAAGCTCCGCCTCCCGGGTTTACGCCATTCTCCTGCCTCAGCCTCCCGAGTAGCTGGGACTACAGGCGCCCGCCACCTCGCCCGGCTAGTTTTTTTGTATTTTTTAGTAGAGACGGGGTTTCACCGTGTTAGCCGGGATGGTCTCTCGATCTCCTGACCTCGTGATCCGCCCGTCTCGGCCTCCCAAAGTGCTGGGATTACAGGCTTGAGCCACCGCGCCCGGCCAGTAAACTTTATTTTATTTATTTATTTTTTTTAAGACAGAGTCTCGCTCTGTCGCCCAGGCTGGAGTTGCAGTGGCACAATCTCGGCTCACTGCAAGCTCCGCCTCCCGGGTTCAAGCAATTCTCCTGCCTCAGCCTCCCGAGTAGCTGGGACTACAGGTGCCTGCCATGATGCCCGGCTAATTTTTGTATTTTTAGTAGAGACAGGGTATTACCGTGTTAGCCAGGATGGTCTCGAACTCCTGACCTCAGGCAATCCACCTGCCTCGACCTCCCAAAGTATTGGGTTTATATGTGTGAGCCACTGCGCCCGGCCTCTTTTTTTTTTTTTTTTGAGACAGAGTCTTTCTCTGTTGCCCAGGCTGGTGAGCAGTGGCACAGTCTTGGCTCACTGCAGCCTCTAGTGATCCTGGGCTCAAGTGATCTTCCACCTCATCCTCCTGAGCACCTGGGACTACAGACATGTACAACCACACCTGGCTAATTTTTTGTATTTTTGGTAGCGACAGAGTTTCACCATGTTGCCCAGGCTGGCATCAAGCAATCCTCCTCCATAAGTGCGGGGATTACAGGCATGAGCCACCGTGCCCGGACTGTTGTTTCCTTTCAGATATTTTCTGTGGCCGGGCATGTTAGCTCATGCCTGTAATCCCAGCACTTTGGGAGGCCAAGGCAGGTGGATCACCTGAGGTCAGGAGTTCGAGACCAGCCTGGCCAACATAGAGAAACCACGTCTCTGCTAAAAATACAAAAAAATTAGCCGGGTGTGGTGGCGGGCACCTGTAATCCCAGCTACTTAGGAGGCTGAGGCAGGAGAATTGCTTGAACCTGGGTGGCGGAGGTTGCAGTGAGCCAAGATCACACCATTGCACTCCAGCCTGGGCGACAGAGTGAGACTCTGTCTCAAAAAGAAAAAAAAAAAGATGGGCTGGGCACGGTGGCTCACACCTGTAATCCCAGCACTTTGGGAGGCCGAGGCAGGCGGATCACGAGGTCAGGAGATCAAGATCATCCTGGCTAACACAGTGAAACCCCGTCTCTACAAAAATACAAAAAAAAATTAGCCGGGTGTGGTGGCGGGCACCTGTAGTCCCAGCTAATCGGGAGGCTGAGGCAGGAGAATGGCATGAACCCGGGAGGCAGAGCTTGCAGTGAGCCGAGATGACGCCACTGCACTCCAGCCTGGGTGACAGAGCGAAACTCCGTCTCAAAAAAAAAAAAAGGTATTTTATATAGGGCCAGGCAGGGTGGCTTAGGCCTGTCTTGTGCCAGCACTTTCGAAGGCCCAGGTGGCAAGATTGCTTGAGCCCAGGAGTTCCAGGCTGTAGCGAGCTATGATCCTGCCACTAGCTGACAGAGTGAGATACTGTATCAAAATAGTAATAATAATAGTAATAATAATAATAGGCTGGGTGTGGTTGCTCACACCTGTAATCCCAGCAGTTTGGGAAGCCAAGGCAGGCAGATAACCTGAGGTCAGGAGTTCGAGACCAGCCTGACCAATATGCTAAAACCCTATCTCTACTAAAAACACAAAAATTAGCCAGGCGTGGTGGCATGTGCCTGTAATCCCAGCTACTCGGGAGGCTGAGACAGGAGAATCACTTGAACCTGGGAGATGGAGGTTGCAGTGAGCCGAGATTGCGCCATTGCACTCCAGCCTGGGTAATAAGAGCGAAATCCGTTTCACAATAATAATAATAATAATAATAATAATTTAAAAACTGCAGCATCAGCAACTCTATGCCAGGTGCCATTCTTTTTTTTTTTTTTTTTTTTTTTTTTTGAGATGCAATCTTGCTCTGTTGCCCAGGCTGGAGTGCAGTGGCATGATCTCGGCTCATTACAACCTCTGCCTCCCAGGTTCAAGCAATTCTCCTGCCTCAGCCTCCCGAGTAGCCAGGATTACAGGCACATACCACAATGCCCAGCTAATTTTTTTGTATTTTTAGTAGAGACGGGGTTTCACCATGTTGGCCAGGCTGGTCTTGATCCTCCCACCTCAGCCTCCCAAAGTACTGGGATGATAGGTGTGAGCCACCGTGCCCAGCGATGCCAGGTGGCATTCTAAGCTCTGTACATGTATTGGCACATCTAACCATCAAAATAGCCCGATGAGGGTGGGACCGTTATGATCCTCATTTTAGAGATGAGGAAAACGAGGTTCAGAGAGATTGAGACACCTGCCCTAGGTCACAGAGCCAGGAAGTGACTGTGCTTGCTCAGGCTGTGCTTGCTCTGCTGTCTCACCTGTTCATCACCACCTGACGTCTGATCCAGGACTGTCCCCTCTCAGTCTCTCCCGCCCTTAAAATGTGTGCTGCCAGAGAACAGGATGCTTACTATCTCATTTAGAGCTGTGTGTCCCCAAGGACTAGACTAGTGGCTGAGGGTGGTGGAACTTTTATCAGTACCTGTTTTCTTGTTGTTTTGTTGAGACCAGGTCTCGCTCTGTCATCCAGGCTGGAGAGCAATGGTACAATTAAACCTTACTGCAGCCTTGGCCTCCCAGCTCAAGCGATCCTCCCACCTCAGCCTGCTGGGTAGCTGGGACCAGAGGGGCGTCCCCACCACATCCACCTAATTTTTTTTTTTTTTTTTTTTTTTTTTTGAGACAGAGTCTCACTCTGTCGCCCAGGCTGGAGTGCAGTGGCCGGATCTCAGCTCACTGCAAGCTCCGCCTCCCGGGTTCACGCCATTCTCCTGCCTCAGCCTCCGGAGTAGCTGGGACTACAGGCGCCCACCACCTCGCCTGGCTAGTTTTTTTTTTTTTGTATTTTTTAGTAGAGACGGGGTTTCACCGGATTAGCCAGGATGGTCTCGATTTCCTGACCTTGTGATCCGCCCGTCTCGGCCTCCCAAAGTGCTGGGATTACAGGCTTGAGCCACCGCTCCCGGGCACATCCACCTAATTTTTGTTTGCTTTTTTTTTTTGAGACAGAGTCTCGCTCCATCGCCCAGGCTGTAGTGCAGTGGCATGATCTCACTTACTGCAAGCTCTGCCTCCTGGGTTCATGCCATTCTCCTGCCTCAGCCTCCTGAGTAGCTGGGATTACAGGCGTCCGCCACCACGCCCGGCTAATTTTTTGTATTTTTTTTTTTTAGTAGAGATGGGGTTTCACCGTGTTGGCCAGGATGGTCTCAATCTCCTGACCTCGTGATCCGCCTGCCTTGGCCTCCCAAAGTGCTGGGATTACAGGTGTGAGCCACCGCGCCCAGCTGTTTGTCTGTTTTGAGACTGAGTCTCGCTCTGTCCCCCAGGCTAAAGTGCAGTGGCGTGATCTCGGCTCACTGCAACCTCTGCCTCCTGGGTTCAAGTGATTCTCCTGCCTCAGCCTCCCAAGTAGCTGGGATTACAGGCGTGTGCCACCATGTTCGGCTAATTTTTGTATTTTTAGTAGAGACAGGGTTTCGCCATGTTGGCCAGGCTGGTCTTGAACTCCTGGCCTAAAGCAATACTCCTGCCCCGGCCTCCCAAAGTGTTGGAATTTCGGGCGTGAGTCACTGCGCCCAGCCTGTAAGCACTTGTTAAGTAGACTTAGGGAGATGGGGAACGCCTAGAACCTTCTGCCCCCTCCTCCCTAGCCCCCCGCCATGCCCCAAGGAGTCAACTCACTCGTTTTTTGTGCCCTTCTGCCCACAGAACTCGCCCCGGCTATCAGTAGGGTAGATCACCTTTCGAGGGTCTCCATGAGTCCAGGCTGTGGAAAGATCCAGGGATACTGAGACACTACCACTCCTGAAATCCAGCCGTGTTCCCACTCCAGAGGCTATGGCTGCCTCCGCCCACCCTGGAACTCCAAGTCCTGCCCCGTTCTCTACTCACCTATAATGCCCACAGCCACGTAGCCCACAATGGCCAGGAGCAGGAATACACAGCATATGACGTCCGTGCAGCCCCTGGGGAGCAGAGGGGCAGCGTTTGGAGAAGCCTTGGTGCCATGTGCACCATGGGCCCATCTGTCCTCTGCAAACACCCTCATCCATGTATTATTTGGACAAATTTTCCTGAGTGGTTTGAATGCTGTACCAAAGGCACATGCATTTTTATTTTTATTTCATTTCATTTTTTAATTTTGTGCAATAGAGTCTCACTCTGTCATCCAGGCTGGAGGACAGCGGCACAATCATAGCTCACTACAGCCTCGAACTCCTGGGCTCAAGCGATCCTCCTGCCTCAGCTTCCCAAGTAGTTGAGACTACAGGTGCACACCACCATACATTTTTTTAAATTTATATATATTCTGTAGAGATAAGGTCTAGCTATGTTGCCCAAGCTAGTCTTTTTTTTTTTTTTTTTTTTTTTTTTTGAGAGGGAGTCTCACTCTGTTGCCCAGGCTGGAGTGCAGTGGCATGATCTCAGCTTACTGCAACCTCTACCTCCCAGGTTCAAGCAATTCTCCTGCTTCAGTCTCCCAAGTAGCTGGGATTATAGGTGCCCGCCACCACGCCTGGCTAATTCTTGTATTTTTAGTAGAGACAGGGTTTCACCATGTTGGTCAGGCTGGTCTTGATCTCCTGACCTCAAGTGATCCACCTACCTTGGCCTCCCAAAGTGCTGGTATTACAGGTGTGAGCCACCGTGCCTGGCTGCATTTTATTGTTTTGTTATTATTTTTTCGAGACAGAGTCTCACTCTTGTCGTCCAGGCTGGAGTACTGTAGAGCAGTCTCAGTTTACTGCAACCTCCACCTCCCAGGTTCAAGCAATTCTCCTGCCTCAGTCTCCTGAGTAGCCTCTGAGTAGTCACAGCTACTTGGGAGGCTGAGACAGGAGAAGCGCTTGAACCGGGAGGGGAAGGTTGCAGTGAGCTGAGTTTGCACCGCTCCACCCTGGGTGACAGAGTGAGACTCTATCTCAAAAATAAATAAATAAACAAAAAATACGAACATGGTAAAAATTAAATCCAGGCCAGATGTGGTGACTCACACCTGTAATCCCAGCACTTTGGGAAGCCAAGGCAGGTGGATCGCTTTGAGCTCAAGAGATCGAGAACAGCATGGGCAAGACAGCAAAACATCTCTGCTAAAATTACAACAACAACAAAAAATTAGCCGGGTGCATGCCTGTAATCCCAGCTACTCGGGAGAATGAGGTGGTAGAACTGCTTAAACCTGGGAGGTGAAAGTTGCAGTGAGCCGATATCGCGCCACTGCACTCCAGCCTGGCGACAGAGCAAGACTCCGTCTCAAACAAACAAAACAAGTTTCAAATATTTGTCACCAGTCTGTTGGAGAACAGATCGGGGGTGGGGGTGTGTGAAGAGACAGGGATTGGGGTAGTATTAGCAGGGAGAACCCTCCAAAACCCAAAGCCCTTACCTATTGTAAATAGGTCCTTTGAAAGTGGGATCATACTTCTGCGGCGTTCCTGAAAGTCAAAAAGATTGATGGGGTTGGAGACCTGAACCAAGACAGGGCTGGGAGAGCGCCCCCTCCCAAAAGCCCCTAGGGGTGTCTTTGCCTCGGCAAGAATGAATTTCTGAGACCTGTGGAATTTTCTGCCTCATCCACCTCCAGGTGACCACACCCAAGCCCCCAGTTCTGGCAGGCCAGGACTGGGGAGGAAGGAGGAATCACTAATTGTGAACAAATTTATTAACTGGCGGCCACCCACTGGTAAGAGGGCTGAAATGGTGGCCACCAGGGAACTAGGTGGAGACGGGGAAGGTCTGAGATGGGATAGGGGGAAGGGGGCGCTGGCAGCAGTGCCAGGCAGAGGGCTACAGGGGCAGGTCCTTTGGGTGGGGGAGAGTAAGGAGGGTCGTCTGCGAGGCTCCGGGGGAAAAGTGGGGTAAGGGGGGCTGGCTGATGGTAGGGAGGCTCCAGGCGCAGATTTGCAATTGCGCTCCCCCTCCAGCCCCCTTCCCTGCGCCCCATGTCCTCTCGAGGCCCCCACCGAGGGGCCGAGGGGTCGGCCCGGGGCTGTGGGCGGGGGTCGCTGCCTACCGTGTTTCCCGTAGTAGTGGGGCCGCTCGTCCCCCATCCCTGCAGGCGACCAGCCCCGGCGGCCGCCCGCGCTCTGTCCCGCGCCCCCTCGGCCCTCCCGAGTCTGGAGGGAGGCACTGACCGCGCGACTGGCGGCGGCTCCTCCCAGCACAGCGCCAGGCGGGGCGGCCCAAACCGGTCAGACCGGCCCAAGCTGGGCAGCTGCCCAGACTGTGGGACCCGGGAGGGCGCGGGCGGGGCGGCAGCTGCTCCCGCCACTCACCGGCCGGCCGGATTTAGCCCTCCCCGCCCCCACCCGAGAACCCTGCGGCTTCACCCCGGGAACACTCCGCCACCGGGCGACACCGCCCAGAACCCCTAGCCACCCTGAAAGAGCGTTTCTGTGACTCCGTTTTGCAGGTGTGGAAACTGAGGCACTGGGAGGGAAAACGGCCCACCGCCCAAACGCAGACAACCAACTGTGGAGTGTTGGGGCTGAAAACTTCTCCAACCTGTGCAGGAAATGAGTTTTCTTTTTGTCTGCTTTTTTTTTTTTTTTTGAGACAGGATCTCCCTCTGTTGCCCAGGCTGGAGTGCAGTGGTGCAATCACAGCTCATCGCAGTCTAAATCTCCCGTCTCAAGCCATCCTCCTGACTCAGCCTCCCAAGTAGCTGGAGCTACAGGTGCTCTACTGCACTCGGCTAATTTTTAATTCTTTTTGTAGAGATGGGATCTTGCTATGTTGCCCAGGCTCATCTTTAACTCCTGGACTTGTGGGCTCCTCCCACCGTGGCCCCCAATTGCATTACTGGGCCTGGCCTTAGAACAAGCATTTATTCAGCCCTTAGTGGGTACAGGCCTTGGGCGGGCACCATGTACAGTGAGGCACCAGAGAGATCCAAACTCCACCCTTCTGAAGCCCACATCCTCCTGGGTCGCCCTTAATCAAATACTCCTTCTGCACCCTCTGAACTAGAAGATACTTAAAAAGGCCTTATCTTCCCTAAGCCTCAGTTTCCTCAACTGCAAAATGAGGCTAAAGTATGAAACCAAAACTGACCTCAAAGAGCAGGAATAGGCCAGGCATGGTGGCTCACGCCTGTAATCCCAGCACTCTGGGAGGCTGAGGTGGGTGGATCACCGGCAATGAGGAGTTTGAAACCAGCCTGGCCAACATGGCAAAACCCCTTCTCTACTAAAAATACAAACATTAGCCAGTGTGGTGGCACATGCCTGTAATCCCAGCTACTTGGGAAACTGAGGCAGGATAATCGCTTAAACCCAGGAGGTGGAGGTTGTAATGAGCCAAGATCACGTCACTGCACTCCAACCTGGGGGACAGAGTGAGACTCTGTCTCAAAAAAAAAAAAAAGAAAAAGGAAAAAAGAAAATAGACTGGGTGTGGAGGCTCACTCCTGTAATCCCAGCAATTTGGGAGGCCAAGGTGGGCAGATTGTGAGGTCAAGAGATCAAGACCATCCTGGCTAAGTTGGTGAAACCCCATCTCTACAAAAAATACAAAAATTAGCTGGGCATGGTGGTGCGCACCTGTAGTCCCAGCTACTTGGGAGGCTGAGGCAGCAGAATCACTTGAACCCAGGAGGTGGACATTGCAATGAGCCAAGATCGCGCCACTGCACTCCAGCCTGGGCGACAGAGCAAGACTCTGTCTCAAAAAATTAATTAATTAATTAAATTAAAAAACAATCTAAAAAAAGAAAAACACTGCATAGATCAGGCATGGCATACCAGGGGTACACACTTAGTATCAGGGTTCACAGTTGGCAATGGGTATACTGTATGATCACTGTAACGGTGTTCAATCAACATAGGGGTACAGAGCAGGTATGGGATGCTGCAAGTATGGGGCATATGGTCAGTGAAGCCACAGGTAACATGGATGTATATAATTATCACAGAGGCACTTAATCTGTTTGTGGGTGTATAGTAGGGGTGAAGGGTATACAGTTTGTGTGACGTATACAGCCATCATGGGTGTATACTATGGGAGTATACCAGCATGGTACAGCTGGCCGCACCCCCCATGCCTACTGTATACCCCCATGCCTACTGTATACCCCCACACCAACTATCCACCCACATGCTGATTATATACTCCTTTGCGTACTAAAACTGATCTCACTGGTTGGGTGCTATGGCTTATGCCTGTAATCCCAGCACTTAGAGAGGCCAATGTGGACAGACTGCCTGAGGTCAAGAGTTTGAGACCAGTCTGGCCAACATGGTGAAACCCTGTCTCTACTAAAAATACAAAAATATTAGCCAGGCGTAGTGACGTGGGCCTGTAATCCCAGCTACTGGGGAGGATGAGGCAGGGGAATTGCTTGGGCCAGGGAGGTATAGGTTGAGGGAGCCGAGATTGCACCACCGCACTCCAACCTGTGCTACAGAGTGAGACTCTGTCTCAAAAAACAAATAAAAATTAAAAAATAAAATACAACTGGTCTCACTGTATCTCCCAACTTTTGTGTGTGTGTGTTTTGAGACAGAGTCTTTCACCCAGGCTGAAGTTCAGTAGCGTAATCTCGACTCACTGCAACCTCCACCTCCCAGGTTCAAGCAATTCTCCTGTCTCAGCCTCCGGAGTAGCTGGGATTACAGGCGCGTGCCGTTAACACCCGGCTAATTTTTGTATTTTTAGTAGAGACGGTGTTTCACCATGTTGGCCAGAATGATCTCAAAACTACTGATCTCAGGTGATCCACCCACCTTGGCCTCCCAAAGTGCTGGGATTACAGGCATGAGCCACTGAGCGCAGCCAGTATCTCCCAACTTTGAGGCCGCTTGTGAATTTATTTATTTTTATTATTATTATTTTTAAAAATAGAGACGGGCTGGGCGCGGTGGCTCACGCCTGTAATCCCAGCACCGTGGGAGGCCAAGGCGGGCAGATCATCTGAGGTCAGGAGTTCAAGACCGGCCTGGCCAACATGGCAAAACCCTGTCTGTACTAAAAATACAAAAATTAGCCAGGCGTGGTGGTGGGCACCTGTAATCCCGGATACTGGGGAGGCTGAAGTAGGAGAATGGTTTGAACCTGGGAGGTGGAGGTTGCAATGAGCCGAGATTATGCCACTGTACTCCAGCCTGGGCGACAGAGTGAGACTCTGTCTCAAAAAACATAAAATACAATACAATAAAAATAGAGACAGGATCTCACTGTGTTACCCAGGCTAGTCTCAAACTCCTGGCCTTAAGCAATCCTCCCACCTCAGCCTCCCAAAGTGCTGGGATTGCAGGCAACCTGGCCCTACTTGAATATTTATAGATATTTATAGTGCAGCCGATTATTTGGTTAACATGCGTTATACAGGTGGCGTGGAGGTATCCTCAGCAGGAATATACATTTGGTGTTGGGAGTACACAGACAGCATGAGCTTATACATTCAGCGTGATCATATACAGTTAGTGTCCAATAATTGTTGCTGCTGCCTTAGACTCTAGGACTCGCAGGCAGGATTCTGGTCACTAACTCAGCTTATCCTTAAAAAGGCTCCCTCTCAGCCGGGCATGGTGGCTCACGCCTGTAATTCCAGCACTTTGGGAGGCCGAGACGGGCGGATCACGAGGTCAGGAGATCGAGACCATCCTGGCTAAGGGATGTGTTTGTACTGGGCTCAGGAAGTTTGAGAGATATGTGGCGATATGTGGTGAGATGGGAGGATGGGGTGTGTTTGTACTGGGCTTGTTTGTTTTGAGCCCGGGGCTGAGGAATGTGCCCGGCTCCTCTCAGCTAACACGGTGAAACTCTGTCTCTACTAAAAATACAAAAAATTAGCCGGGCATGTTGGCAGGAGCCTGTAGTCCCAGCTACTCGGGAGGCTGAGGCAGGAGAATGGCATGAATCCGGGAGGCAGAGCTTGCAGTAAGCCGAGATCGCACCACTGCACTCCAGCCTGGGCGACAGAGCGAGACTCAGTCTCAAAAAAAAAAAAAGGCGCCTTCCTCCTAGTTACCTCCAGCAGAGGGGCCCTGTCTAAACACCTGGACCACAGGCGAGGCCCGAAGCACCAAGTCATGCCCTGGGGTGACCCAGACTCTGAAAGAAGCCCTGTGGTTCTCGAAGTCTCTGGCAGCCCAAAGGCTAGCTGGTCCCACCCTACCCATTCCAAGCAGCGGACAAAGAGAGCGAGCCACAGGCCTCTTCCGTTCCCAACTACATGGGGTGCCCTGGGGACATTTTATTCAGGCCCCACCCACCAGTTTCACACTGAGGAATCCCAAAAATTGAGCCCTCAGGAAACCCTTGTCTCTGAGCTGCACACCCATATGACATCTGTCTCCCCCCAACACATGTGGGCATCTCTCATACTCAGTGCAGCGGCATCCAAGCTTTTTTTTTTTTTTTTTTTTTTGAGACACAGTCTCGCTCTGTAGCCCAGGCTGGAGTGTAGCGGCCCAATCTCAGCTCACTACAAGCTCCGCCTCCCGGGTTCACGCCATTCTCCTGCCTCAGCCTCCTGTGTAGCTGGGACTACAGGCGCCCGCCACCATGCCCGGGTAATTTTTTGTATTTTTAGTAGAGACGGGGTTTCACCGTGTTAGCCAGGATGGTCTCGATCTCCTGACCTCGTGATCCGCCCGCCTCGGCCTCCCAAAGTGCTGGGATTACAGGCGTGAGCCACCACGCCCGGCCGCTTTTTTGTTTTTGAGACAGGGTCTCACTTTGTCGCCCAGGCTGGAGTGCAATGGCACAATCACAGCTCACTGTGGCTTTGACCTCCTGGGCTCAAGCGATCCTCCTACCTCAGCCTCCTGAGTAGCTGGGACCACAGGCATGCACCACCACACACAGGTAATTTTTTGTATTTTTAGTGGAGACGGGGTCTCACAATGTTGCCCAGGCTGGTCTAGAACTCCTGGCCTCAGGGATCCTTCCAACTGAGCCTCCCAAAGTGCTGTAATTATAAGTGTGAGCCACCGCGCCTGGCCTGCCCAAGCCTCTGATTATCCAGTGACTCAGCTCCATCCTCCCACGTGCTCCGGCCAGGAACCTGGGCTACCTCTCTGCTTGCCTTCAGAGCTATCCAGAATCCAACCTCTTCTCACCTGCTCCTCAAGCACCCACCCTTTCACACAGCGCCCACCACTATGCCAGGACCAACATAGACACTTTCTATTGTCCCTATAGCGGCCAGAGACATCCGTGCACACGTAAGTCAGGGCACATCCCTGCTCTGCTCAGAAACCTCCATGGTTCCCGCCTCATTCCGAGGAAAAAGCCCAACTCTTCGCCACAGCCCACAAGGCCCTGCGTGATCTGCCCTGTCACCTTCCTGCCCTCACCCGCTTCCTCTCTCTCCATGGCTTACTCTGTTCCAGCCTCACTGGCCTCCTGGGTACGTCCCACACTCAGCAGGCATGGTCCGACCTCAGGGCCTTTGCACTAGCTGCTCGGTCCCCCTGC